AATGCTTATTTAGCTAACCAGGACTATTTCATGGGAATTCAGTCGCTAGGTCCTTACCTAAGTAATAATTGACTCCTGGTGAATGCCCTTGGCAAGGTTTTTCAGAAGTGGCTTGCCCTTGCCTCCTTCCCAGGGCTGAGAGGGAAGGACTGGCCCAAGGTCACCCAACTGGCTTTGTGCCTAAAGCAGGACTAGAATCAGAGTCTCCCCATTTCTATCCTGGTGCCTTTAAACACTACAGTATAGCAAACTGGCTCCCTAATGACTAATAACTGCATTAGAAAGCCAAGCTTGCCAAGAAAACTACAAAGCCTAGTCCAGGCAGTTGCCAGGAGTCAAAAACTGACTGAAAGGCACCCCCCCCCGTATTAGCACCAATTAAAATGTCATAAAAGAATATGCAAGCTTTCAAGTTCACAAGAGCTCTCCCTCAGGTATGGAGTTACAAAAGAAGATGATGGGGGGAAAGCAGAGAAGTTCCCCCATTTCAGGCATGAGGCTTCCTGTTCAAGGTCAGATAGAAATTGCAGACTAGGAACCCAGGTGGTATAATGGCTTTTCCTCCTGGCATGAACAAGAGAGTTGTCGAAAGGCTGCTGGCCCTAAAAGGGTTTTTTTAGACTCCTTTTGATTAGCAAAAGAGGTTTCTAGGAAGAGCACAAGTCCTTGGCAAGGTTATGCCAATTGCGCTAATGAGCAACAGGATGAGTTCGTGGCTCTGACAACATTACTCTAAGCAGAATTCCTCTCTTACTATCTCTGCCAGTGTTTTGCCCAGAACCAGTAATCAGCAATACAAATGGAAAGAGTTGAGATGGGATGTCTGTCAATCTTAGCTTGGAAAAGTTATCCTTGGACCTTTTTACTGCAGTATCACTTGTATTGCCTTTTGCTACTAGAATTGCTGTACTGTATGCATCAAACAAGGTATCCTGCTTTTCTGCAAACCGGGGTCCTTTTCCCCTAGACTCCCCCTAGTGCATTAAAAAAAAAACACTTGTTCCCTACAGCCAGAGTTTTGGATCTCTTAGCTGGACCACAGTACTCTCTAGGCAAACCTTGAACCAAAACGAGGATGAAATTTAGAGGGGAGAGCAAATCATACAACAAGCTAGTGGTTGTGTTTGCACAACACCCCAATCCACAGTTAGCTGATCCATAGTTTACTGAATTAAATTGCCAGGGTTTGCTCAATACTGAAGCATTAACTAAACCACTGAACCACGAATTAGTCAGCCACATTGTTAGGTATTGGCATCAGCTATACTTAGCATTTGGTGAGAAAGGAATTATAAAAACCATTAATTAACCAATATTTTATCTGCCCTGGTTTTGTACTGCTGCTGCTATTATTCTGTAGTTAATTTGAGAAACTTCTTTATATTAATATAATTTTTGAAATATCTATCATCTTTTGTATACACAGGTAAGGGTCAATGCAATTGTGGCTCCCCCCTGTTTGTAATACTGATTTTTACTAGGTCACAATGATGTCAGAATGTTAATAAACTTTCCCATCATTGGCTGACTCTAGAGTTGAACTGTTAGGAGAGAGAAACCTGTACTCATTTGAATTCAGCAACTATATAGGTGTAACCCTTTGCCCTGCTAAAGACAAAGGCATTTTGAGCAAGTTAGTAGTGAGAATCTAGGCAGGTGTTTCCATTTATGGCCAGCTCTTTTATAAATCCAAAGACGCTTTCAATCAGTTGAGGAATAGGCTGGAAACCATATATACACAGTAAGTTTTTTTAATTATTTTAATTATACAGTAATAGTTTGTGACTGGGTTCATATATCATATTAAGCCATGGCTTGTTGAATAAAACAATGGATTGTGTTCTCACAACACAGTAAAGCTATACATTATGGAGTGGAAAAATATGTGGCTCTAGCTTGAGTTGGATCTGTGAAGGGACCTAATGTGGAGTCCTTGGGGTTCTCTGAGCTTGGTTCTTTTCTTGCAAACGTTTCATTACCCAGTAATGTGGAGTCCTTGGGGTTCTCTGAGCTTGGTTCTTTTCTTGCAAACGTTTCATTACCCAGTAATGTGGAGTCCTTGGGGTTCTCTGAGCTTGGTTCTTTTCTTGCAAACGTTTCATTACCCAGTAATGTGGAGTCCTTGGGGTTCTCTGAGCTTGGTTCTTTTCTTGCAAACGTTTCATTACCCAGCTAGGAACCTAATGGGTGTGTTTGTGCAACACATTCAAAAAAATTCAGAATGTAGCCAAAGTGTTTTGTAAGTCATGATGTATACCTTAATGTAAAGGGTGTTTTAGCTTTGTGTGTTTGTATAAGCCAAACAATAAATTTAAAGTAGTCACAGTCCTGATTCACCCATTTTGCTAATGTAAAATTTGCTTAACTGTATTTTCTTGAACATTGTTGGTCAGATTCATGCTTCACACTGAGAGATCAATTATGATTTAAAAATTGCAATATGTACTTCCCTAGAACATACTTAAAATACATACATACATATATATTTGATAGAATACATGAAAAATGTGGCTGGCTAGCTGTACAGTGTAAACCAAGACAGTTGGGTTAATTTGGTGAACCAGAAAGCTGCAGATTAGTTGGTTGTGCAAATGTAGTTAAGAAAACTCTTTCATTGCCTTTTTTTCCTAAAAAGTAGGTTTGGAAGAATCTGCTGATTAAATGTGGGATTTCTAATTCACTCTGGACTTTTATAGGTTTGGTGAACAAATAAAACACGACACTTTGAATACTGATTTGCATGTCATTTAAATCAAAATATAGTTTGCTTTTTAGCATGCCATGTGAGCAAAGCCACTGTACTTTATAAACCATGCTCTGATTTATGATTTAGTGTGTTATATGAACCAACCCAACAAGTTTTAATCACTAAACAGCTTAACATGTATGTATCCAGACTAATACACAGCCAAACAAATCACATTATGGCTTAGCATGTTATATTAATCTATTGTGGTTTATTCAACAAACTATGTTTAAAATCTGTCAGTGCAGTGCATAACACCAGCCAGTAATAAGCTTAGATATCATACTAAATCATAGATTATGTATTAATGAAACACAATTGGTTGAACTCATATAACATGCTAAGCTATAAATCATGATTTACAAACCACAATAACTAAGTTTATATAATACACTAAACCAAAATATGGATGGAATTGTTCCATCTTTAAAAACCCAATCTGAAAATTGCCAAGTAATTTTAAATGATTGGAAATAAAAGTGATGCATTCAAAGGAACTTATTTAAAAAAGAACAGGTCAGTGAATTTAGCTGTTCAGATTAACCGCCCAGCTTTTCAGTACAACTTACATGTAATGCTTCTATGTTTGCTCAGAAGTAATTCAAATTTCAGAACACTGAAAGCTTTCTAATTTTAATTGCTGTTTACTAACCCTTTTCAGCAACTTAATATATTAGTCATGCTCAGTGAATAAACTTCAAAAGGGTTTTTTTGTGAGATATATCAATTCTGAATGCTTAGTAGAGGTCTTTGATGACTTCAGCAATTTGAAGTTTATCATGGAATGGAAACCTTATTCAGAAAAATGGCCACCAAATGCCATTTTAGCGAACTCTTCCGCAACTTTCGATACTTATCCAAGACAGCTGACTTTTGCCTCCTACATGTATGTATATACAAACAGATCATACTAAGTTATGATTTAATTGTAGCCAGATGGAAAATTGCCAAGTTGATGTAACGTGCTAAGTCAAAGCCAACAAAATCACATTATGGTTCTGCTACTATTTATATTCCACTTTTTATCCAAGAAACGTAAGGCATAGCAGTTTTTCTCTTGCCGTTTTTATTGTTCCAGCAGCCTGGAAGAGTGAGACTGAGAGATAAGGAATGGGTTCATATTTTATGATGTCATGGTTTGATTGGTTTATAGCTTAACTTATTGTACACATCCAGCCAATTGTGGTTTATTCAATAAACAACAGTTAAGCAATCATTTACTGCAAAAATATGAAGCCAGCCATTGTATCAGAATGAGACCAAATACAGAAAGTCAGACTATGGTCAGAATATGCAAGGACAGGAGGAGTATACAAACTGTTCTGTATTAGCTGTAGTTCTGCTTCCCAGTCAGCTGAGAGAATATTTAGAACAGAAACTGGCACATTCTTTATAGGCACAGGCTGAAGTATATGGTCATAAGCTGATGACAGGTAACTTGGAATGGAGCATAAAATGAATCTATGGTGTGGAAATAAAACCTGAATTTATTAAATCCAAGGGTGCATCTATTTAAAAAAACATTGACAGCATAAGAAGATGAGTTATAGGCTGCTGAACAACATGGTTTCCAGCTCTAAAATTTAAGAAATTATCTTCAGGGTTAGGATGATTTTGGACGTCAAAAGGGTCTCTTTTTTGTCTCGTATGCTTTCTACTGAGTCTTAGCGTATGCATTTGTGTATTAGTGCCTTGCTATTTAATAACTTCTCATTTTTAAACATTCTTAGGAGTACGATCACACGTCAGCCTTCCCACCTACCTCATGGATCCTGAACGGCTGGTTCAGTGTCCCTATGACAAAAATCATCAGATCAGATCCAGCCGTTTCCCTTATCACTTGGTGAAGTGCAAGAAGGTAAGGAGAAAATGAAAAAGTAGTACAGGCAATGCATGTGACATTTACGTAAAGCCAACCTAGACAAAACTGAAAAAGAGTGATATTCAAAACATTTCAGTACAGAAAGTTCCAACTCTGAAACCAGATGCCCTGTCCCCAAAGTGGACTGTTCTCATGTTTTTTGAAGTAGTCAGCCTCAAAGAAAACTAATTCCAAGTGACTACTTCCAGAAAACACAGAACAGATCTCTTTCAAATTCATACCACTTCCTGAAAACTCAGAACTGCTTATTCTGGATGGCCTACAACAGAACAGATCCCTAAGCAGAATGTTACTCAGTGAATTGTGGATGAAACATGTATGAACAAAACGGTGGAAAACTTATATTGGTGGTGTTTTGTGATTATATCTTTGGATCTTGCCATAGCTATCCCATACAGTTTCCTTGAGAACAATCAATTGTTGGGCTTAAGAGTTAATTTAAATCCTTTTCCTAAACTATTAATTTGATTGGGTTCTTTATCTTGAAATTTACTGTTGCCAAGATCCATTTTCCTATTCCACATGCCACTGCTCCCTGGGAAATTGAATTAAATTTAAAAGATGCAAATCTTAATTTTCTACTCCTGAGACATTAGTGGCACTGTGAGGGCTCCTCCAGGGAAAAAATGGATTGACAATTCCTTTTCTGCTGTATCTTTTATTTCACATCCATGCATCTCTCCCACAGTATCATGGATGGCAGGAATCTGGAGAGAGCCATAATTTGCATTATAATAACTTCTTGGGTTTCATTTTTTTTTTGTCTAGAACAATCAAAAGATTGCTAAAGGACTAGCAACATGCCCCTATAATGCCCGCCACAGAATTCCCAAGCAGCAGCTCAGTTTCCATATTGAAAATTGTGAGAATCGAGTTCCTCTGGAGGTGTTCAATGGTAAGATGTTGATTCTGCTTAAGTGCTTGCTGTGGCTCTTGCATTGTGTAATAGGTTATGTTGTTGCTATATCAAAATTTGTGAATTAATCTGGTAGTTATGCTGTCTATAGAAACCAGTATTCCCAATGTATCAGTCAAACAAATATGCTGCCTAGAATATATACTGAATGTTCAAATGATTGGAAAATAAGGTCCGAAGAAAAGAAATGAATTAATAGTGAGCAATATTGGTAGAAACAGCAAGATTTTTTAAAATGATTGAGAGTTCCTCTGTTCTTTTGGAAAGTTAGACATTTGTGAGTAAGGAAATCAAAGTGTAAAGCTATCATGACTGAAATACTATGCAGTCAATAAGTGAAGGAAGATGACATATTTCTGTACATGCCATAAAACTAAACTTTCCTGGGCGCAGAATACAAAGTACACCGTTATGAAGTAGAGTAAATACAGGAATGTCCTGGAAAAGGAGGTGATTCCCCTCTGTTCTTTCTAGGGATAGCAAACGTTTTATGCTTTGTTTCTCCAGAGGTAAAAAGACACATAATTAATGTAATTTTTCCCCTGCATTTAAACTCAGAAATGAAGCAGTAAAGTAGGCAGAATTGAGGCTTTGGTCCTGAAAGAGGGTTTAACTGTCCAACTCCCATGTTGATTCCCTGATTTAGCTATCTGCTGCACAAAGTAGAAGGCTGCTCTTCTGTTCCCCTTTCCTCTCTCAGCAAATAATCAAACATTGTTTATGTATTTAAGAAGGTATCTCACCTGACACAAAGGGAATGTCCATTACTTCTCATATTTTATGGCAAAGCGAGTTTTTTTTTCTCACAAACAGTCTATCAAATGAATAAAAATAAAAAGGACCATCAACTACCAAAGTTTCCTGGCAGTTTAAAATAAAACAAATTTAAAATTGACATTAAGAACATTTAATGACACTTAAAGCAAGTAAAACAAGTAGAATCAATCCTTAAAATTAACAATTATAATCTACAGTTAAAAGCCTATACAAAACTATGTATTTCAAGAGTTTGTTTAAAAGCTAATAAAGATACCAGGTTGCTCAGTTCTTAATGGACTGCATTCCAAAGAGTTGGGGCAACAATTGAGAAAACTCAATCCAGAGTCACAGCCAGGAGGAGGCACACTCACCTAGGGAATACCCTCTTAATCAAATACCTCCTTAATCAAAAAAGAGAACCAAGTCAAGTGTGACATCTACATCTTAGGTGGGCCTTGTGACCACCTAGGACTATAGTTGTCACAGCTGCTATGAACTCCTGAGACATTCCAGCCAAATTAGCCCCAAACTGATAATGAAATCCCCCAATAACATAAACCTAGAGGTCTCCAATACCAACTTTTGAGACTAGCTCTGTCAATTAAGGATTCTTTTATGCAGTGAAGAAATCAGTCCCAGGCCTGCAGTATGCCCATTCCATGTGATCCAATTATTTCACAGGAATCCTGGCAAGGGAGATGCTCTCCTGTGGATCACAGCCATACTACCTTCCCCACCCGTTTCCCCTGCTTACTGTACCATAGAGGCTTAGGGGGGAGAAGCTGGGCCCATTACTGGCCCACCTCCCTCCCTCAGCCAATCAGGGTTCTCATTCACAATGAAATCATGGATGATCTTTGTATTACTTTGGACAGAGCTGGCATTACCAAAGAGCAAATCTGCTTCTTTAAAGAACTGGAACCACTCTCCCAGGGCTGAGACCTGGCAAGACCATGGGATGGAGAACAACTCTTAAATGGATGGTCTTCCTTCCCCTATAAGGGCCTGCCAAAGCCAATATTCTTCCCCACCACTATTACTGCTACTCCAGGTTCCATAGATGCAGACACCCCCCCCCATCCCCCAGTTTAAATACTCATGTACTTTATACCCAAGCAAAGGAATCCTTCAGCCCAGCATCAGAGGCACCTTCTCCTTACTACCCACCAGGCAGACTGGGTATGTCCCTTGAAGGTCTCATTCTAGCTGCCATTTCCCAGTAGCTCCTGTTCTCCAGTAGCAACTCGTAGCATACTCTTCTGGCTCTCAACCAGAAGTGGCCCCAATCATTCCACATACATCCTCACACAATACCATCTGGAGCCATGCTTTTTGCCCTAGTGTCAGCCCAGCTAGCCTGCCCTAAAAGCAGCCCTACATAGAGACAGCCAATGCCTTGACAGCCAACATTCCCAGGCCCTCCACTGGTTCAACCCTGGCAAGCAACAAGGCTTAAGGCCAAGAGGCTGCAGTAGGGGAAAAGCAGGGAATGGATGCAAAATTTCCCTCACCTGGAGTTTCCTTGCTTCAAATCCTGTTTGGTCTTACTGGAATTGTTCATAGTGCTTTGTGGCTTTCCAATCCCTTCATGCTTTATTCTGAAGAGTCTGTCTTCAAAGAGAGGCATCACAGAAGAGCTGGCCCTTGAGACTGACTATAACACCAAAAGACATTTAGGCCTGAAAGTTAGTCTAAAGAGCAGTACTTGCCACTTTCCTCCTGCAAGGAAGGAAGAAGCTAAAATAATTCTCCTTATATATGCAACTGTCTCACTCTGAAGATCCTTCAAAATAAGGCATTGGCGTATACTTTCACACAACACTGTCCGCTTGCATTCCACAGCATTTGTAGTTTGGAGGGCCTGGATCGTGTCTATCCTATGTTGGGTTTGGAGAAAAGGCTGTGCAGTCCACTGCCTCATCGGATTGGTTAATCTGAGGCAAGGATCAGATTACCCTTCAACCTGCCTTGCAGCAGAATTGCCTTGAATTTCAATCTCTCATTAGGAAGGAAAAAAATGTGAATTCACAAACATGAGTTCTAATCTCTTAAACAGACATGCTCAGCCCTGGAACTAGGTCTCACTGTACGTAACATTTTTTTCTGAATTCTTCGCTTGCAGTGGCTACCAATCCAAACATGGGAATCAAAGAGGTGGCTGCTGCGCAGGGCCCAGCTCCGCAGGAAGATTGGGAGGCTGGTGAGTGTTTGCTTCCAGAATACTGCACCAAAATTGCATACAAATGTTCTGAATTGAAACACATTATAACTGAACACATTATCTTTTTATGGCAAGGCAGTAACTCCCTCCCTCTCAGAAACCCCAGATTAAAAAACATTTAAGGAAGCAGATCTCTTTCCCAAAATTATTATGTGTTCCTGCTGATTTAGGCCAAGAGGTCTTGTTTCCTCTTTTGAATTGCAACTACTGAGACAAATTTAGATTTAGATAATATGAAGACTGAGGGCCTCCTCTACTGTTTGCCTGGGATGCTATATGAAGTTTAGTGTTATCCTTAACATCCTTTGATAAGAAAATCTTCCCTTTTTTCCAATAATTTTATTAAAGATTATATTATACAAATAAAACTTATGCAACTACAAAATGGAAAAATACATTAAAAAATAAAATTAAGGAAAAAAAGTGCAGGAAAATAAAAGTAGAAAAAGAAACCTCCCCCTTCATCCCCAGCAAGTATAATCAACATTAACAACTTATCACTATCTCTTAAAATACAACCAAACCTCTCTTCAATCCATACCTCACCCCAATTTCTACAAACCTATCTCTAGTACCTCATCTTTCCCTATTAAACAGCAAAAGTCCAGTAAGGGTTATCAGAAATAACAACATAAATATTACAAATTATATCCATTACACCCGAACTGAATCCCTCCTTTCCATTTAAACAAATTCCCCCTATTTCCTTTTTTGAAATAATCAAAGTTTGGTCCCACTTAAAAAAGAATTAAACATTACCAGGATAACCAGAAATACACATTACCAGAAATAACCATCATCATCCAATCCTAATCAAGAAGCCATTAAATATCCCCCAAAATAGCAACCTGTTATTTTAACCTTGATCGAATAAACCGATTCTGTATTGTTTCTTCTTTCTGTGAACAATCTTTAAGTTCCTTAAAACATATTCTAGCATCTGCCTTCTCATACTCTCTTCATCTTTTCTTTCAAAATTCTTAGCATCTTTGTCAAGTCCCCTTTGCATTTCCATCATGACAACTCCAGGACAACCCTCTTGTAAATCCAGTATAAGGAAGTAGTCCAGATTACTCATCTGATTTGTTATTTGTATATCTTTTAAGTCATCATCTTTCACTCACTCATCATTGGTATAAGAACAGTACTATAGTTTAAGAAAGGGTTTAAGTGGATCTGAGTCTTAGTGAAACTGATTATCTGAGGAGCTGTCTCACTCCCATTATATCAGCCTGCCCCACTCAGTCTGGCAGAAGGGGCATGTTGTGGACCCCACCAGTCAAGGAATTTCAGCTGGCAGGGTTTAGGAAGAGGGCCTTTTCTGGCATGGCCCCTGCCCTGTGGAACAGCTTACCACCTGAGGTGCGGTCTGCCCCCACTCTCCTTGCCTTCTGGAAAAGTATGAAAACATGGCTATGCCGGATGGCCTGGGGGCCTAATGGGGGCTCACACTATTGGAACTGGCTGGTGGGACAATTGATACTGCTCCCCCCATTATCTTGAATTGTATATAGTCTTTTTATATAGAATTCTTCTTAACTAATTTTAATATGGATATTTATATTTTCATTGTGAGCTGCCCTCTGGGGGAGATGGGCAGCATATAAATGTAATAAAAAAAAAAAAAAAAAAAAAAAAAAAAAAAAAAAAAAAAAAAAAAAAAAAAAAAAAAAAAAAAAAAAAAAAAAAAAAAAAAAAAAAAAAAAAAAAAAAAAAAAAAAAAAAAAAAAAAACAGCTCTGCTCCCATCTTTCTCCTGCCTGTAGCCTGATTCAGGCAACAGTACTTAAATTGGCTTCCTTTCTTCCCTTCATTTTTGCCTATGGTATTCTGCTTCTTAGATTCTGAACCAATGTGTAGGATCTGAATAATATTTTCATCTTAGAATAGAATAGAAAGTTTTTGGTATTTGATAAAATAGGATGTGTGCTCTTAAACATAGCTATTCCATGAAAGTATATGGATCATGTCTAATCATCAACTTGAACACTTCTTGGAAAAACCGAAAATGAGCTTTCCAGCTATGTAATTATGCAAACACCACCTAATACTTGTTTACTACTGTTCTCTTCTAAAGATGCTGATGAATCTCCTGCTCCTCCTTTTCTGTTTGGGGCCAGGTGAGTCAACAAAATAGCTGTTTTGCATGCATTTGAGATGTTTTGCAGCTTCAAAATGGTTTACCAAATGACACAGGCTCAGATGCTGATAAGAGACCACTCTGCAATGTGGTCCACAAGGTCAATAACAGCATTTCTTAAACCAGGGACAATCAACTTTTTTATGCCAAAGGGCTATGTTTTACGGTGTACAAGAGTTGTACAAGAAGGAGCAGTATTATTTGGGGGGGGAGGGGGGAGTAAGCACAGTACAGTACAGGTAGTCCCTGGGTTAAGAATGCCTGGGTTACAGACTTATAGTTAAGAAGAGAGCCTATTGTAGCAAAATTCAAGTTAAATACACAATGGTTAGAGTTGAATACACAATGGTTCAAGTTCACTACACAATACTACTTATACAATATTATACATTAGTACGCAGGAACAAACCAAAATGAAATATCCCAGTAATTAAAATCAAATCATAATTAATGTTGAAAATAATTGGACTGTATCATTTTAATGGGCTATGGGTTTTTATATTGTTTTAATGTATTGTTCATCACCCAGAGTTATGTACTTAAGATGGGAAGCAATATACATTTTCTTTAAATAAGTACATTTTGTTTTTAAACACTAATAAAAGATATGTGCTACTAAGGCCCAGTGCAATAAAACCAGCTTGAGGAACTTCCTGAATACAAAGAGGATAGGACCTATTCACACCTCCAAGGGAAATCATGTTCTATAATATGAGGACTTCCACTGAGGTGTTCTGCCTCATGGTCTAAACCCCCTTAATCTCCGGTGGGGGAGGAATTCAAAACAGGTCTCTCACTATTTGAACTGGGTGGGCAGAATTGTACCTGACTTGAAAATTCTGGATGTCACTCTGTGCCATGCTGTACAGATCATAACTAGCACTTTGAATTGGGCCCCAAAGCTTACAGATGACCAAGTACAGCAACCACAAGACAGATGTTATTCTATCATTGCAGTTCTCCTCGCATGGTAGTCTGGCCACTACACCCTGTATCAGCTATAGCTTCTGAGTTGTCTTCAAACCCAGCCCCACGTAGAACGTGTTGTAGTGGAAGCAAGGTGATCAAGGCATGAGTCACTATTGGCAGGCGCCAGTCCCCTATGGGTTGTTTTTTTTTTTAAAGAATTGATCTATGATGAAGTTATCAAACACATCTAAATGTTATCAAACACATCTATGACATATCAAATGCATCCTCTTGCAATCTCTGGACATTATTTTTTTCTACTGACTCCAGTAGGGAATTCTTCATGGAATAGTATATCAGCTGCCCTGGAGTAGATTTCTATTTTGGAAGAAGGAATTATATATCTAATCTTCCCTACAAACTAAAACATGGAAACCAGTACTGCATCTTCCCAGCCCTGTTTGCACAAATGGAAGCTACTATATTGTTACTTTGAGAACTGTTTTAGTCTATTTGACTTTTTTAATATTAGAAAAAGAATTGGAAAACCTCTTGGAATATTAGAAAAGACTGCTGTAAGCCTTGTATATAATTATTGATGCTCTTATTTTTCTTCCTTACAGCTATTCTGAACAGAAGTAGAATCTACATCTGTGAAGGTAATCTATTGTAGAATTAAATACCAGTTTAAGAACCCAGTTTTGGAATTTAAAATCTACGTATTTTAATGAAGAGGGCATCTAAATTTCTTTATACAGGCTACTACTTTAATGACCAGCTTTGCAAATGCAAGCTCCCATTATCCCCCCAATAACATAGTACTATTCTATGGTATGGGTTGCAAACATGGTTCCAGAAGAGTGCATGAGGCCTCAGGGCCATATTTATAATGGAATAATAGGATGCCTAGTTAAACTATGAATGATTTCACTATATATGGCCTACTATGCTGCTAGTTTTTAGCTTGAGCTGTACCAACCAATCCACTGTGATTTATAAACGATGGTTTCCTTGAGACCGACTGAGGTGCAAACAGATTGGTTAAGGCCTACGTATCCATTGAAGCAAATAAGTTTCATTGCTAATGGGTAATTGTGAAAGCTATTTCTTTGGGGGAGATGGCACTTTTTAAAAATGTTGCTTAGCCATTACAAAGTCTGTCTAGGTTAGTACAACAGAAGCAACAAAAAAGGGCCATCTTTTGAAGTGAACAAAGGTTTGGAACCAGTAATGTTGATACTATAAGAAACTGACCCCCAGAGTACCATGTGAACTGACACCAGACAAACATTGCTCATAGTATAGGTTAAGTATGCTGAGAGGCTATAAAGTTTTCCCATTATATCTCAGCTGTTATACTGCTGAGTTCCCATTAGCTTAGTGATAGCTTGTTGAACAAGCTAGAATTGAATTGGTTAGCACGTATGCTTAGCACAGCCACTGAAGCTAGTCGCTGTTTCCTATCTGAAACAGTACAAATGCAGTTGAAGTGGACAGTGAAAGGAGTATGGCAAGGAAAGCATTTTTTTTTTTTTTGGCTCATGATACAAGGAAATGCACAGTAAAGGGGATCAGAGGCTGTGCTAAGAAAGGGCAGCCTTGGAGCCTCAGCATCTACAGTGTGTGTATGTTAACATCTGCAAGATGGTGGACATGGCGTACACACACTCTGCAGCTACCCTTGCTTGGAGCTGTTCCATAACTTTCCCTAGCTTAGGACTTCTTGGCCAAATAAACCAACAGTAGAAGGGGAGAGGCGGTGGGACTCTTTCCACATCTCCTCAAAACTGGTATGTACTAAAGGGCAGTACAGTTAGTTCCCCCGCCCCCCGTTTTTGTTTGGACCTTTACCAATGTCAGATTGCAAGCGATTTGGGGGATTGGTATTAGCCATTCTGAGGTTATAAAAAATTAATTGACTCCCAATGTTATTCCAGGTTTTATCATGAGGATCCTACTGAAGAAACAATCAGGACAATTCTTTTAAACATTCAAGGCAACCCCTTTTTTAACAACTCAATTTTTAAAAATGTGTTTTAACCTTTATCAAATTTTAAAATAAAATATATTGCAAATATATTGCTGTTTGTCTATTTTTTACTACACGTTAGACCCCTTCCAAAAAACATGAGGCTGCAAACACGTATTTGTCTCCTTAGAACAAGAGAGCTTTAACTAAGACGGAATGATTGCTTAAAAGTCATCAGTGATTTTTATGATTAAGTGGGGATTTGAATTTTGCTTGGTCCTAGTCCAGCACTCAAACCAGTTCACCACACTGGCACTCATGTGCTGCTGCTTCTTAGTAGCTGTTCTCAGGAGAATCTCTATCTTCTATCTCACTATATTGGAATGGAAGTGAGAATCTTTAACTTGGTAAGAAGCTCAAAGATGGTATTCAGGTCAGAATGACTACATGGTGTGATTGCAAGTCACCTCTCAGCCGCAGTCTCTTCCAAATTACAATACAGGGCAAATGAGCTACTGTAGAATTTGCATTTGCAAAGCTATCTTCAAAAGCATTTCATGCTAAATGAGAACTCAAGACTAAATCCCTTTGCAGAGAACTGGCCAGCCTTGGCTAGTTCTATTTGCATGGATGACTGTCACATCATGCTCAGCCAAAACCTAAACAAAGCACCTTTAGCTTCACTTACATAGGGATCCTGCACTAGATGACCCAAGGAACTTAGCCCTTTTCTGCACTTAGGGGGAAAGAGGAAGGATAGGAGTAAAATAGTGCTTCTCAACCTTGGCAACTTTAAGATGTGTGGACTTCAACTCCCAGAATTCCCCAGCCAGCCATGCTGGCTGGGGAATTCTAGGAGTTAAAGCCCACACTTCTTAAAGTTGCCAAGGTTGAGAAGCACTGGAGTAAAAGGTAACAGATCCTATAAACCTACTGTCTGGCAAAGTGTGAATTTTGCAAGGTTTCTTTAAGCTCTGCCCCTCTACATCTACAAGCCAGACAGTGAGGTATCTATGTATATTTTTACCTGCTTTTACTGTTTTCTCTAAAAACCACAAAACTGAACCAAAAGAGGACAAGTGCAGCCTCTTTTATGCTCCTTGCCTTCTTTGTTGGCTGGCAGGAAACTCTGATGTCTTTCTTACCACACCTTCCTTTTCACTGGCCATTCACTGTCTGCCAGCCAATCCAATATCCCCTCAACCTCCTTTTCTAATTGGTGTCTTCTGGGCATGTTCAGTCTCCACTGGCTGATTTCCATAATTCAGATTCCCTATCCCTTAAATTCTTGAAGGTTTGTGGGAAGCTTATACCAGCGTTTTAAGTGGCTGCAGTGATGAAATCAACTGTCGATGTAGTACTGGATGCACAGTGCCCAGAGAAGACCCTGTTTTGAACATAACAGTTTTGTTGGCCCACTGTGATTGACTGTATTAACCTAATTGCCTGCATTTGCATAATACACCGAGCCACTAGCTACCCAATTACAAGTTAACCATGGCTGTGTTCACATGCTACGCTATGTTATAAAGTTCAGTGATGAATCCCCCCCCACGCTACCACCAGCTGCTTGAAGCTCTTTGCCTGAGTTTTGTGATTATGATATTGCATGGATCAGAACATTTTGCCATCTTGTCTAGAAACACCAAGACATGCACAATAGGGAGTAATACGACAGCGTACACTCATTATCTGAAAGTTATAGCTTTGTATATAATGCAGGTAGAGCCAATGCCTGGGTTCGTACAACATACTACGATATGCTATGGTCTCCATTAAACTCTGTAAATCTAGTCAACTGTAATGTATTAAATGTACCCTGATTACAACCAGCTAGGCTGTAGCATCCAGGCGCTATTAGCTGATCTCAAAAGGTTAAGCAGGATCAGGAGATCATCAGGAAATCCTATGGTTGCAAGCTGCATTAGAAAATGAAACCAGACCAAACCAAAACATCCTGGGAAAAGGCAGTGGTTGATCACCTCCATTCTGCTGCCCAGAAAGCCATGCAGTTGTAACCATGAAATCACCAGGTCAAATCAAAGGAGGATTTACCTGATTATACAATTATGCTTAGGGAGTTCCATGAACACTAGTGGTTTCATACATCATTAAATTACCCTTTTGTTAGTGACGCTACATTGAAGAAATCACAGCTGGATTGCTTCATGCAACATACTAAGCAATAGCATGCTTTTGGCTTAGTATAATATCTGAAGCCAGTAATTATATTTAAACCATAGTTTAAAGCTAATGGCTAAATGAGATGTACAAAGACAGCCAGTGGAAATTACGTCTGACTAGACCTGCACGGGAGCGATTGCTACAATTGTGTAAGATCGGATACTATGGCCATTGTCCGAAGGTGATCTTGTGCAGAAAAACACAACTTCCTTGTGAATGTTTTCCCTAAGACAGACTCATGTCAAGTGATCTCTGTTGGGAGCCGTACTTGGCTGCAAAGCTCCCCTTAACGTTACTGGCAGTTCCTCTCATATGCTTTGACAGAAAAGATCTGCCTATGTCTATATTTTTGGATGGCACAATAGCATCCATCCACATTTTGTTCCAGTCTTTCTGAGTGTGGGGCTCTTTTGGCTTAGCTTTATGTGTGAGCCAGAACATGATGTACTGTTCCACAAGCTATGGTTAAATGAGGCCACCACTGATAGCAACAGACATAAGGGTTCATTTTGAGACTGGGGGATGAATATGGATTTTAATAAGATTATGCCCATTTTTCATTACACTGTATACATCAGGAATGTTGGCAGGAAGGGTTAAAAAAGACAAGATGGCAACTGGAACTGTGCTGTTGAAGCCCTGCCTCTTTCTTATATGCTTCATGTATGCGAGGCACGTAAGAAGGGTAAGGGCTTTATTTGGGCTTTAAACTAGTTTGCATTGTTCAAATCTGTTACTAATTATTTTGTAAGGCTTTTTATATATTTAAATGCTTTCTTCATTCGTATTTCTCATACTGTATTATACACTTAATCTTATTCTTGACAATATGGTATTTAGTTTTAAGTCTGTTAAATGAAAAAAACAGTTTAAGGGTAAAATCATCTCCCATCTACTTGGTAAATAGTAACTGGGCTTATCATAAAAATGTACTATAATAAAGGGAACAATCAAGTTGTCCCCTCTCTCCTCCCTGATTTCTACTGGCATTAGAATCATTGGCAAATAAAATATGACAAGAAAATAAAATTTCAGGAATTAAATTATCCAATCAAGAACCAATTATAATTATATGCAGATGATATTGTACTTATAGTTACCTGCCCAAAGGACTCTTTAGAACTGATTATGGAATATATACAGCAGCATAATTATCTCAATATCAGTTTAATAATAAAACTCAAATTATGATACAGAACTTATCTGAAGAGGAAAAACAGTACTTATAGCAAATAATGGCTTAGGGTTAATGAATGTCGGTATTTTACAGAAAATAATAAAGATTTAATCAAGAACAATTATTCCCAGACTTGGAAAAGTAAAATGGTAGATATCTTAAGATGGAGAAAACTGAAACTGTTGTGGTTTGGTAAAATTGCAGTAGTAAAAATGAACATTTTACCTATGCTTAATTTTTTGTTTCAAATGATTCCAGTAAGAATTGAAGACAAACTATTGGCAAAAAAAAAAAAAATCAACTAATTTTATATGGTCTAATAAAAGATCTCAGGTAAAGCTTAAGATCATACAAAATTTAAAATATCAAGGTAGACAGGATCAGATTTTAAATTGGACTAGTGTGCTTGTTGCTTAACTCCAATAGTAAACTGGATTATAACACTTTATGGTCAGATTGCTTCTATGAACTTCCAGATAGTTTGCACAAATATCTTAGGTCTGATACAAATAGAAAAATACAACTTATCAGGGATATTCAATAATAAGTAGCATTCCAAAATTATATGATAAATACAGACTAGAAAAATAATAGTCCAGGTTTATCACCTTTTGCTTCAATACTAACTGTCTATGAAGAAGAATGTACAAAGAATTTGACCAGCGGAGGGATAATAATACTTCATACAGATTACAAGATTTAATTATTAATAGAACAAAGATGAAATCCTTTGAGATTGTCTCATCAGCATGGCTCGAACCCCACTCACTGGTTTCAATAGTTACATACTGAAAACAGTATAGTCTTAAAGAAAATTACAAAAACAAGGTGAAACACTTAGAGATTTCACCAAATTCAAAAACCTATTCACATAAAACTCAGATAATTTATTGCTGGTGAAGTACAATTCAGAAAGTGAACAAGTTAAGGATTTATAATCAAATGGATGCAAAATCTGAACAACTGATATTCAATAAGGGAGATATCAACAGAAGAAAAATATCAAATTTACAGTTAATATTACACTTAGAGAAAATTGGTATAAAATATTCTACTGATGGTATTACTCCAGTGCTAATTGCCAAAATAGACAATTCATTTTCTAAAACTGTTTAAAATGCAATAATCAGGTCCCACATTTGGTGGCAGTGTTGTAAGGCAAAACAATTCTGGAAAATAATTGATAATAGAATAAAATAGATTTTAAAGGTGGATTTGTTTTTTAGCCTGTTATCTTTTTACTAAATATTACTAAATCTTATATTCCTACAAAATATATTACTGGCTTTGTACGTGGTTAACAGCTTTTTCATGAAAACATGACTAATTCCATCCATACAAAAATGGCAAATTAAGTTATGGGGGTATGCACTGAATTAAAAAAACAAATCTGATATAGAATTTAATTTAACGTGGAAACCATTTTTGGATTATAATCTTACAAACTCGTTGCTAACATATCCAAAATTTGGGTTTCTCCCAATATAAGATTATTTCTCCCTGCTCCTGCCTTTTTTCCCTTTTTTCCTGATTTGCCAAATTTGTTAATTTTTTTTCAGACAGGTAGAACTGTATTTTTTTTCTGTTTGTGAATCAAATCTTGCTGATTAAAGCTGTCAGTTACTGTACATTATTCCAATTTTAATATTTATTTTAACACTGATTTTAATTGCTATAA